TCCCTACATTTTCTCATCCTGATCAGAGTCCCAGCGATCCCTGATGGAAGGCAGAATAACTTTTCTATTGAGACTTGATAGTACAAGTGCACGGTTTAAAAGTACTTGGAACTTTAAGCACTTCAGAAGCAATATTTTTCTAGTATTTCAGCATTTTCTTTGTTGCTTTTGGCCATAGCTGAAGTATGGAATGACACAAATAGACTGAAAGTCTGAAAAAGTGTTTATGCTTTTTCAGTCCTTCATATATATAATTTCCTTATACAGAACATATAAACTGAGGTTTAGCACATTAGTTTGGTTTATTTAAATTTTTGCCTTGGCCAGTGTTTTGATTGTCCAAAGCCTATTCTGAACCTCTTTAACATTAGTGCCTGGTTTTGTAGTCAAATGGCTTATGTCTGTAAGTGGGAGAGCAGGACTTCTATCCAAGTCATTGAACTTGACGTGTGTGAGGCCCTGTCCAGTGCTTGGGAGTCTCCTGCTGCCTGATGGCCCTCGTCCTCCTCTGTCCCCAGGACACGAGTGCCTGGGCTGCACTCCAGCAGCACCGCCTCACCCCCATCCAGATTGCTTTTCAAAAGTTCCAGTTGCAAAATTGTCCTGCCTTTGGTCACGGATAGTGCAGTCTGCTGTCCCACTGAGATCTCACTGACACCCTTCCCAGGCCTGAGCAGCAGCACTCTGGGAAGAGGGCACACAGGCTTTGCTCATTCTGTGTGCTTTGGTCGAGCCTGTGTTTGCCTCCAAGGCTGGTCAGTTGGTGCACTGGATGTTGGAGTCAGTTGGAATAGCAATGCTCTACATTGTGCTGTATCATCTCTCAGAAGCTGCTTAAAAAAAGATTAAGTGCCAGTGAGGTTTGGGTTGTTTGTCCTGGAAATCTTGTAGTTAATGAAAGTAAAAGAAGTTCACAAATGGGGTTTCATAGAATAAATGCAAAGCAAACCCCTGTGACAGTGACTTTGCTGGCCCGAAGGAACTGCATTTCAGTTAGTTTGAAAAAACACAGTCAGAATTACTCCTGCCTTAAATAGATTCAGTGACTTTTTTGTTTTGATTGGACATGTGCTTTTTTCTCCACCACAGGTATTATTTTCTTAAAGTCAGTTACGGATCCAGTGTGTAATTTTAAAAATAGTGCAACTTCCAAGGGTAAACCAGGCTGTGCAGAGCCCTTGTCTCAGGGTGATCACACCCCTCATTTGCAAGCACAGCCTGTGTGAACATTAAACTTCATCAGTTGCCTCTTCAGCAGCCGGTTTAAAAATGATGCAGAGGAGTGGAAAAGCAAAGATATTATCAAGCTACATGTCCTAAAATGTATCCTGGGAGCTGCGTTCTATGTAGAAGATCTGTTTGGCTATTTAAAGTCATACTGAGACTTTCTAGTCCCTGAAGATGATCTTTTAGGTTTGCAGAATCAGTTACTCTGCAAACTGCCCATTTTTTTATTTTTATTTTTTAATATGTGAGTTGTAAGTAAGTCAGAATGAGCTAATTTAGCCAATGGAATTTTATAAGAAATCTATGAATGCTGTGGGTTTCCCTCTCTCACCCCCTCCAGCAGAAACATAATTTGCAGAAATGAAAACAGTCTCTGGCTGGCTTTAGGGTTTTCTCAAAAATAGAAACAGTAGGGTTTGTCTGGCTGGGCCAGTTTCCTCACCACACACCTGGTGTATATCACTTTAAAAAATACATTATGCCTCATTAAATTACAATTAAATGAAATCACGATCATTTGTTTTTCTGGAAGGAAGATGTTTTGCATATTGAAAGCCTAATTTGTTGCAGGTGACAAAAAGGCTGAACAGATTATTTAATATCACTTTATTTTTTATAATGTTGCTCACTGGTTAGTTTGCATATACTTCACTAGCTCAGAATTATATTATTGTAAACATTATTGCTCTCAAGACACTTTATTTTATTGTCCTCCCCTATCACTCAGCTATCTGCTGCTGCTGTTTACCGGCGTTGTTGTTTATCTTCAGTTGCAGGAGGACGCGAGATTTGTCCCTCGTGAGTCAGTTCTCTTATTAGCTCTCCTGCTGTTTACATGGTTCCTAAGCTGCCAAAGCACTTAGAGGAGCTGCAGAAGAACCCTGTTGGCAGCCAGATTTCCTACCTGTGTGCCTGGAGCGGGGCACGGGGAGCAGGGCTCGCCCCTGCCAGCGGCTGCTGTGTCGCGGTGCTGGGGAAGCAGCGAGTGCCCCCCTGGAGCAGGTGCCTGCCTTAGGAGGAGAGGCTCCCGGTGTGCTGGTGGAACACTATCAAAATACTGCTGTGTCCCTGTAGCAGCTCAGGATGAGACCCTCACGGAAGCAGGAGCGCGGGAACCAAATCTACCGCGTGATAAGATGTTTCTGGTGATAAATCAAAGCTTTCAAGCACAAGGGTTGGTATCTCAGGTGGTGAGATACCTCTTAGTGCCATGACCAAGTCACTCGTACCTGTGAGCCTCTGATTTACATACAGAGTCAGTGACTGCACAGAAAAGTAATTGCTGGTATGCTTTCACATATGTTTCTGCTCTCTATTTTTTAAATTGGACCATAAATTTAGTGAGGCTAAAATGGGAGGGAGAAAAAACTGTCTTAGATTCAGCTCCAGTAACTTTCAGTTCCCTTTCTTTCATACTAAACTCATTTCTTTTTGAAGTTGAGTTTTTCTTTTGAAAAGAAGTTTTACATATATATTCTTTCAAAGACACGGGGAATGGGAAATCTAAAGAATTGATGTAACCAATATTTCCTTTATTTACTGCAATGAAGATGTTTTCACTGACTCTAGGGGAAAATTTTAATAAAGACTTGCATTGGTCTTATAATCATGCGGGTTGTGGCTTCAAGCTCCTGTGTGTCCTTTTTTGGTTAATCTCCCCCAGCCTATGAGCCTGCCAAACTTTAGAAAGCTTTTCAGAATTTCCTTAGCTTCTCTGAGAGCTGGTAAACCCTGAAGAAGAAGCCAGGTATGAGCATGCAGTTGTGTTGAGGTCACACAAAGTACCAGAGGACAGCCCAGCACTGCAACTTCTTCAGATTTTTTCCCAGAGAGCAGATCTTTTTCACCACCCAGCTTCTCTCTAGCATCCCACTTCTGAGTGGTGCTAACCATGATTCCATTCCCAGCTCCAGTCCTTCTGGTGCCTACACTGATCATTGCACAAAAATGTAATTGTGAGTGTCTCAGCTTGATTATGTAGATGAGGAGCTGAAAAGATGGAGCCTACCTTCAGGTTATGTGTAGAACTTAGAGCACTTGTGGTATAAAGTCTGCTGAAGTAGAGGTTTTACATGTGTATTTTAGTGTGGGTGTTTAACAGCAGATAAATGCAGATAGAGATATGGCATTTGTTGGTCATTTGGTTTTGTTGGGAAGACTGGTAAATAAGGTCAATATATACAAAAATGCTGGAATTTGGTTAATTGGCCAACTGTAGTGACAGTGCTTTTAGCAAGGCTTTTTGGAAGAGGCTCTCTGATATGGAAGAAAAGAAATGAGAGCTAAATATTACAGGGCTTGGGGTATGTGGTTGCTTTCTAGTAACATTTTTCTGACAAGAAAGGAGTAAGCCTTGCCTGTCCTTGGGAAGCAGCTTGCCTGGGTCCTGGCTGTGAAGTAACTGCAAAACACTCATGTCAACAGGCACAGCGGGGCTGTGTCGGGACCTGCAGGCTCCCTGTGCACCCTCCTGCTGAGCTGCTCCTCTCCCAGCGCAGCCCAAGGTGAGCCCTCCCAGCTCCAACTGGGATTTCACACGGCTGCTGTGGCTGGAATTCCTGGGAGCAGCGGTGCAGACAGCGACAGCCTCCGGGTTGTGACAGGAGGGAAGCAGGAGCGGTGTCAGATGGCTCAGGGAAGCATATTGGCAGAATAGCCTTTTGAAATAATGAGCACATAGAATTGCATGTTAACGTAAGATATTGTTTTGATCTCGTAATGATATGTTACATTAAGATAAAAGTAGTCTTGATGGGCAGAAATGCTCCCTCTCTGCTTCCTTGCACGCCAGTATATTAAAACAGGTATAATTCAGGAAAATGCCGTTCCTGCTATTTGGAATGAAATCCCAATTTGTGAAGTGTTAGATGTGAAGGGGTGCCTGGGAGAAACTGGTGGCACATGCTGTGCCCTTGGTAGTTTCTGTAGGCCCTGATCCTGACTTGTGTGCTGTGCCTTTAGCTTTTAGATAATCCATGGAACTATTGAGTGTGAGCAAGTGTGTACTCTTACGCATAAATTTAATCCCATCATTAGATTTAAGCCTCTTCTAATGAGTTATATTTTGAATTTTCATCTCTCCAATTCTTCCATATTTTTTGCTCTTTATTTTTTGGAAATTTTTTTTTGTAAAAACTAGATTAATATGGTGTTCATTCACAGTTGCAGTGTGAAGCCCGTGGTATTTTAAAATGAGGCATGAAAGGATGGGTTAAATCCCTAAAGCTAGATTTCAAGGTTTTATTATTGCTTCATTTTTCTCCTTTCAGAAATGATTGTCCAAACTGAAATGAGCGGACTGTAACATCAAAACCTAGCCAACCATTTTTCTTTATAAACCTCCTGTACTGTTTAAATGTCGAAACTAAATTTACCAACCTTGGCAGATTTGTCAAAGATGAACAGGATTGCCAAGTGTTCCCAGCTTCAAGTAAAAAGAGAAAGAGAGAGAGAGATCTAACAGCTCCTAAAATATTTGCAGCAAGCACCTGGTGATAACTGCAATTTCTTGTAACCAGTGCACCTACCTTCCTATCCAGCATCTCCATACTCAGAAGCTTATTACCGTGCCAGAATAGGACAGTCCCAAAATAAACCCCAGCCCCCAGAAGACAAACACTTTCCTACAAAATATCCCCTCAGGGAGAGCCCATGAGATTCTGATGTAGATTCTCAGTATTGCAACCCAGCTGGTTACACTAAACAAATTTTTAAAAACCAAAGAAACGCATCAACGCATGACTGGCTTTTTTTTTTTTTTTTTTTAAAACCAGGGTTTGTTGTCAGAGATCCTGCGTAAAGAAGAAGATCCTAGGACAGCTTCTCAGTCCCTCCTGGTAAACTTACGGGCAATGCAGAATTTCCTCAACTTGCCTGACTCGGAGCGGGATCGTATCTATCAGGATGAGAGAGAGAGAAGTATGAACCCAAACGTGAGCATGGTGTCTTCAGCTGCCAGCAGCCCAAGCTCCTCCAGAACACCCCAGGTAAGATGCAATCCCCTGCTACCTGTTTGTTGTCCAGATAATTCCAGGAAAGGAGTTTCTTTCCACTCTTCCCCTGTCTGTTGCTCTTCTTGCCCAGATGAGTTGTGGAAAATCTTTCATAAGGTTTTGGAGTGGCTGTTAAGACACATTTAGTGGATGTCAGCAAGAGACTGTGATGATCATTCCATCTTTAATCAATGCCATAAATACCAAAGAGTATGTAACATTAGTGCCTGAAAGAGTGCATGTGGGCATTACATACAGGCTGTTGATATATGTCCATTAAATGGCTATTATAGAATATATTATGGAAAGACAGTGCATGTGGCTTTTTTCACCTGTGCCCATTACCTTCTTCAGAACACAGGAAATTTCTGGGCTTCTGGTCCATACGTGTTGCCATAAGAAGTGTCTAGTGAGCAGGGGTTGATACTGCATTAGATAGATGTTGTTAGAAAATACTGTGCTGCATAGGAAATCACAGTCCTTGAGTTAGAGGTTTTTACAAGTAAATGTTTGAGGTACAGAAAGTGGAGATGGACAGCGTGCTGGGAAGGAAGATGATGCTTAGAGCTCCCAAGCAGCTGTTGTCTCATTGACTTAACTGCATGTGTTTATTAATGTGCTGTTGCCACCCACTCTTCCTTGGGTAGGTTGTTCCTTTGCACTAAGAAAGAGCATCCACAAACTACACTGTAGTAGTCATCCCCCCTTGTACCAGGCTGATGCAGTCCCACATGTGTGCTCTGTAAAGTGAGGGTGCTTGCACAGGGCTGCCACTCAACTCCTGTCATGACATTTGCCTGACTGGAGTCTGAGTTTTCTAACAGTACAGGCATGATGCATCAGTTCTAGCACTTTACTGATCTTCAGTAAATGGGCCCCTGTAACCCTTCTAATCATATCAATGATCACTTCTCATTGAATTCTGTAGTCACAGCTGCTAAAAGTAAGCAAGCAAGCAAGCACTGCTGGGGAGAGTGAAGTTTTACATTCAAACTGACCGTCCTTAGGGAAGGTGTGTTGCTTTTTTAGAAACTATTGAGGTTGTTTAGTTTAACCCAGACATGTAGGTGCGCTTCACTGAATAAATGATGTAAAGAACTGTTTTCACTGAAAGCAAGCTTATCCTGCCAAGCCAGTTTGACACTGTTTTCATTACATGGGAAATTCATCGTATGATCCTTACCTTTTTTAGTTACCTATAACTGAAAATAAAAATATATAGGTATTTTTATAGTGAGTACACCATTGTACTGTTTAAGCAGTGTAGCCACTTTTCTGCAGTTGTATTGATTCATTGAAGAATTAGCTTAACTCCTGCTTATATTGGTTGCAATAGGTTTTGTACTAGAATCAAGCACTGAAAGGAAATGGAGACTTTAGACACAATCCAGTGAGAATAAAAATTGTATCTCTTGGCCCATTTCATTTCTGTGTTTATATATATACCATTTTCCCATGCTCTAGCCACAGCTAAAACATGATTTAAAATAATAGAAATTTTACCTGCCTTTGTAAGAGCTAAATATTGCTAGAAAACCATACTCTAGAAGTATAAACCAGCCCATATTTGCCTTATTTCAGTGTGAAGAATCCAACAGAATATTGTTAGGTTTTTGATCAGTAAAAGCAGCACACAAAGGTTTACCCAGTGCTTGCCTTGTGCCCGCTGTGTAACATTTCCCCAGCCCTCAGAGGGCCAGCACCAGTCAGCACAGGTGCTGTTTTGACAACTTGGACACCTCTGCAAATGAGGCTCTTCCCAGCTCCCGGGCAGGCAGCACGGCTACTGCACTTCCCCATATGCCTGGTATTGGTTGTGACGAGAAAAATGCCGTCCTCGCGGGCAGCACGGCCATTCCGGCAGCGTCAGCTGCCCCGGCAGCTCTTACCTACCCTGGAGCGGGGTGCTTTGGGGCAGCAGTAGTAGGAGCTGTACCAGCCTTGCAGGAACTGTGTCAGTGTGTCAGAGAAGGTGATGGAATGGCAATTGGAAACGTGGTTTCCATAGATACTGATATCCTGCAGCAGTGCTTTTGGGATTGAGTGTGCAGGGTAGGAGAGGAATGGCAGATACCTGTGGAAATGCTCGTGCTGGGGCTGTCGTGCAGGCAGGTGTAAGGGCGTGCAGAGTAACCCAGCTCAGCTCTCCTTGACTCTGAGCCAGCCCCAAGCCACCCTTTTGTGATGTCCCTGGCTCAGGACCTGCCTCAAGGTGAGAATGGGAGATTGATCCAGAAAATGGGATACAGCTGTTGTGGGGAAGGTGCTCTGAGCTGTTAGGAGCTGTGTCCACACAGAACTCCAGCAGTAAGGGGCTGGGTTGCAGTGCTCTGGCACTGTGGTTGCAAACACTTTTTCTTCTTTCCCCCACTGTTTACAATAAGATGTTTCAGTAGTGGCCAACTACTTCTTAATATCAAGACCAGCTTTGAATCTAGGAGTTTTAATGTTAAATACTTTATTTTAGTGACTTTTGGTTGGTATTTTCCCTTTTTATTTTAATTTGTTTAATTTTTATTTTAATTTAATTTGTGATTAAATAAAAAATGGTGCAGCTTTCCGGGTGTGCAGGGCAAGCTTTTTCCTCACATGTAGCTGTGGACCTAGAAGTGTAGGAGACCCATGCAGGATGGAGTTATATTTTGAATCTTTCTTTTATGTGCTAATTTTGTTCTTCTCAGCATCTCAGACATCTATAACAGCCTCTGAGGCCATGGTGACCTTGGCTGCTGTGCTAGCCAAAGGCTCCAGCGCCTGGAAAGACTTTTCTATACCCGACAAATCTCCATTAAATCAGTCCTGACAGACTTGGACAGTCCTTTTCCTTTCTGTGAAGTCTTTGTTGTTTTCTTACATTTCCCACAGTTGCCCTAACTCTCATCTATCTGTAAGCATTGAATTTTAGAGCAGGGTGTCCCTGCCGGTCCCTGTGTTGCACTGTACCCAGCTCATGGGCTGTGGATGGCACAGGTTTAGCCCTGGCCTTCTGGCGCACGATGGCCATGCTCTGCCCCAGCTGCTGTCCAGCTGCCTCTGCCTGCCCACGGGCCTGGCCTTAGGGAACAGGAAAATCTTACACCCTTCCTGCATGTGTCCTGCCTATGACAGGCAGGGAGCAAACCCAGAGCAGTGCCTGCTGAACCTGGAAAGGGAGAAGATACAGGTTGGTTAAGGCTTTATCTGGAAGTCATAATTAGTCTAGAGTCTTGATTGGATTTTGGCTCCATTGTTAACGTGGCCTCAGTATGGAAGAGATGGCAGGAAAAGGAAGATTTGGAGGACAACAGAACAGAAGAAGTTCAGAAGGTTTGGTTTTGCCTAGTTAACCTTCCTATTAACAAATAAACATTTGGGCATGTCTGCCTAGTTAAAAATTAACATTAGATATACTCTAGCAGATTTCAACTCTGACACAAAAACACGATTCATCTGAAAAGATTCATAATTGAGCCAAATATGAGTGTCACTGGGGTATATGGGTGATTTGGGTCTATTGTGAAGTGTGAGCTTTGCAATTTAGGTTGTGTTCTTTCCTAAGACCTTTGTGTCTCAAGACAGAACAGATTTTACATCAGTAACCCACATTTCCCTTAAAAGGTGTAAGGGGTGCAGTGATCAGCCCTGATATCTCTCCTCTTTGAGCCCGGGAAAGTAAATAAGATCTGTCTCCAAGGGGCAGCTGCTGCTGGGAGCACTCAGTGAGCATCACACCACCCTCACTCCCTCTCCTGCCAGTGCATTTTGGGGACCACCAGTCCAAGGGGCTTTAAATTGACATCCTGTAGCAGTCTTTTGAACTGTATTGATAGAAGCTTTGCAGGGGTAGTCCAGCCCAGGGAAAGCACTGGCAGCGTCCGTTATTGTCCTTCATTTGTCACAGAAGCTGATGGGAAATCATTCAATTAAAAGGAGTGCAGTGGAATACACAAAATCTCAATATGAGTTTAGGAGAATGAGGGCAGCACATCAAAGGCATGCCAAAGCCCAGCTTTATGAAATGATTTTTTTTTTTTTCATTTCCACTGATTTCCTAGGTGAAATTAGGTGACTGTCTGGCTAGCATAATGATGATAAGGCTGGGAAACCATACATACTCAAGTGACATACGTATAGTTTTAATAAAGAATGAGGGAGACTTGAGGGAGTGCATTAAATTGAGTAATAATTTATTATTTAGAGACCTCTACCCATTTACTCATTTTTTCTGGGAGAATTGGCTCTTCCTCCAAGGTGTAGGCCACTTTTAGAGAGGGGGGAGAGAAGGTAGAGCCTGCTGGCTGTGCTGCAGTAGCTGACTGGCAAAGCCAATGTCAGCGTGTGCCTGCAGCCCAGTGCCCCAGCTACCTATCCTGTTGTTGAGCTGCTCAATAAACATGCTGGGAGAGGGAGAGGGGGAGAGTTGACAGGGCCTTGCATGTCCTATAGGAATGCACTGCAATTATTTCCAATCACAATTAACCTGATTAGAATAATGGACAGGAAGTGTCCCTCTGTAGCTAATGCAGTTTGGCATCAGCTGACTGAAATCCTTTGATAATTTCTGCACAGATGGCTGGGCTGAAAGCAGCACTTTTTTAATTATTATTTTCATGGTCTCTTGGTAGGCCAAAACCTCGACACCAACAACAGACCTCCCCATTAAGGCGGACAGCTCCAACGTCAACATCACAGCTGCCATTTATGATGAGATCCAACAGGAGATGAAAAGGGCCAAGGTATCTCAAGCTCTGTTTGCCAAAGTGGCTGCCAATAAAAGTCAGGTGAGTGGTATAGGGGATTTCATTGTTGTGGGGCCTTCTAGGGTTTTGTTTTTAAAGCAAACTCTGGGGTTGGGACTAGATCCATCTCTTCCTCCCATCAATAAAATTACATCTGTTCCTACAATAATAATAATAATTCTAATCTCTGGGGAACCTGTCATGTTTGGCTTTTGCCTGCTTAAGTGGTTTCCTTTCCCCCTTTAAAAGAGGCTGAGGAAAGGGTCAGTTCACAACCAAGCTTTTCCTCCCCTTTTGTACAAACATGTCTCTCTTTTCCCATGTGTGGTATATAACTTACACCTCTGCTAGCAGGACAAGGAACTTTCAAAATGGCAGTAACCTACTCATTCAGCAGGTAATGAAATCGCTTTCTCAAGTGGTTAACTGAGGGAAGGCAATGGGAAAAAGCATATTAGGCAGGTGTTTCCTTTTTAGCATGTTGTATGTGCTGCATACAGTATTGCCACGTGAATAAGTCACATCGGATCCAATCATTTTTACAAAAAGGCATATGAAGGCACTGCAGTGAGTTCTGCTGGATTCATTTCTACCTTGGGTGTAAAAAATACATGTGGGCAAGCCTAGGTCGGGTGAAATCTTGAAGAGAATCCATTAATTTAAAAATTTCATTCAACTCTTTAAAAAAATATAACGCACCAGAAGGGATTTTGTGGCAAGGAGGACAGACAGATGTTTTTTTGAAGGGCAGCAAGTGGATTGGAGATTGTTGGAAGGAATTGTTTACTCAGTGAAAAGAGCTGCTTCTGATCCTGGATGAAATGATTCAGTTCAGCTAGGAGAGGGCATTAATATGCACACAAAAATGCACAAATGTGCACGTGACAATGAGAGAGTGGGATAGAAGTATCTAGGTGCATGCACTCTGGAAAACACACACTTCCCTCTCTGCAGGGAAACAACGTTATAGTCATTAAAGTAGATGTAAAATAAGCAGTTGAAAGGCATATAAAGAAAGCATCAAAGGCTATCAAAGCACATGGGAAAGCCTTGTCCTTGTTACAGGTATTTGTGTCCTGACATGTGGAGATCTGATGAATTTTTCCTTCTTCGTGTGATCGTTAATTTTCTTTGCCTTTTGCTTTCTCTTGTCAGGGTGCAGGGGTTACAGCCCCTCTACCCCCCAAACCAAATCCCAGGTTCAGTATGAAATACATAAAAGGAAAATACCATGGAACCCTCTTAAACTGTTAAATGCATAAAAATCTCATGTACCACATGGCAAAATATAATGAGAACTGGAGCTGTTAAACGAATAAAGCTGTTAAAAGCATAATGCCACTTGGCACAACTACTGTGCATTTAACGGTTTTCCACTGTGTAATAAATGACATATGTGGTAAACGTGCAGTAAATATAAAAACTGCACAATTGATTTTGCAAACGTGCCCCTTATTCTTTACTCCATGCAGATATCAAAGTTCCACCCAGAATCCGGACTGGACAGCTTTTAATAAGGAGTGTTTAACACAGACCGAATGCCAGCCTCTCTGAGGTTTGGCTTAAAATTGCCTGCAAGCTTCCTGTCATTATACCCAGAGGCTTCTTGAAATAGAGAGGGACTGAACCACCCAACAATAATTTGGGTGGCTCACCAGCTTTGGTCTGTGCCAGCTTGAGCTTATGTACTTTTCTGGCAGCATCGCACACCAGCGCCAAAACAAAAATAAGATCTGTAGTCTTTCACGTGGAAAAAAAGCAGGGCAGATTTTGAACACCAGATGCAAAAGGTTAAGAACAGGATCCACAAATGTTACTGTTTAAAGCAAAGTTACTGCACATAAAGGTTTTGTTTCTTCAGCAGCAGCGAATAAAGAAGTGTTTCTGAGGCTGATGTTTCTTTTGTTTCGCAGCCTTGCCAAAGCAGTGCTGGCTCCCTGGGATGGCCCAGCGTTCGCCACGCTGAGATGTCATAGTGCTCTGCTGGAGCATGAAAGTGGTTTATGGGGACACTGGAAGGCAGGGACAGAGGAGGCCACAGCCAAGAACCACAGTGGTACGGGGCCCCCCCGCCTCAAAGCCCACCTGTGTGCCTGCCCCAGGCCTGGCTTGGTGTGCCTGTGGTGCCCTGCTGCTGGCTGGGGAGCTGTGTGGCCCGGACAAGTGCCAAAAGGAAGGGCAAAGCTGCTTGCATGGGGAAGAGCCACGGTGTCATGGTCAGTGTGTTGCTTTAAGTCTAGCGTGTCTGAAAACTAGCAGTTGGGTGTTCCCAGTGCACTGCACAGACCAGCTGTGCCAGTTGTGGGCATTTCTGGTGAAAATGTTGCTGATTTCAGCAGCTGAGTTATATGGTGGGAAGCGCTCATTGAAAACTGCCCATGTTTGCAGAAGAAAGAGTTTGAAAGGGGGGGAAAAAAGAACTAGTCTGAGGCTTTGCTTGGACTCTCCGCCAAGGTTTGCTCACTTGCTATTCTCCACAGGCCTGGCTTGTGTTGCGTTGGCTTCCTCTATTATTCCCTCACCCCAGACTACTGAGAGGCTTCCAGTTTGCTAACAAGGCATGTGTTATGTTGGGCGCTGCTGTTCTGTCAACAGCAATCCACGGTGCTGTGAGATCTTCACAGTTTTAGCAGGCAGTGAATCTCCGACAGGGATGTTTTGACATTTTATACACAGGGCTGTATGTCATGTACCCGAGAGAACATCCAGAGGAAACGGAGGCCTCGTTTCCTCTTCTGTCTCTGTACAGGAAGAGTGGTACCCACTGAGAACAGTTACTGCAAGTGGCATCATCTACTGGTGGAGTTAATTGACCTCTAATTTAACAAGTAACCATCTTCATTCTTAAGCCATGGCAGAGTCTCAACAACTGAAGAGAGGGGCAGTTTCTAGAAACTGAGGTTGCAAATCACAAAGCTCACAAGTCAACATAAAGGCAAGATTCAGGGCCTCATGGATGTATCAAAGTAGTATGGTAAGAATTCAAGGAAATCCACCTTCATAAAGATTTCAAGATACTTATTTTAGACATTTACTTATTCATCACTTATTTACCTTAATATGCATTTTATTCCTTGCACCTTATATCTAGATATTTTTAGCCTTTGTGATGTGCATCCCTTTGTATTTTTGAAGCCGTCAGAAGCTGAGAGTTCAGTGCCCTCACAACACAGCCTCCACAGCTGCCCTCTTATTTTAGCTGCCAGCTGTTAGGGATGGACCCGATGGACAGCAGGATTGTCTGGGGGTGCTGCCTGCCAGTGCCCTTTTAGTGGCTAAACCTGTATCAGCACATTGGGAATGTTTCTGAGTGTGGCTGGAGCACCAGGGTTTGGTTTCCAGTCTACGACTTGAGCTCCCCTGGTTATATTTAAGTCACAAGAAGACAGGTTTCTGATGTGCTGTTTCAGAGAGGTTTGGGTGGCCTGTGTGTGTGCAGAGCTGGGCAGTGGGACAGGCAGAGACTATGGCCTTGGATTACTGCAAGTTTGGATTGTTGGTTTTACAACTGGCTTCTACATTCAGTTCTACAGCTGCTTTACAGTGCAACTTCAGGAAAACCATTTCCCCCATGACCGTGTGCCTCTAATGCTGTGCAGCAGCATTACCCCTTTGACCTCTGCTAGTGAGAGCCCTGTCAGAGGCTGTGCTGTGCTCAGCAGACATTTTTTTCTTAGTCTTTGCAAAATAGGTTTGGGAATGTAGTTCTGTTCATAATAAACAGTGACTATCAAAATAAACAGCTGGCTGAAGCTCTTGTTGACAGTCTGAGGGAGGGCAGGGTTTGTATGGACATGGAGATCAAACTTCCCACAGTTCTCCCAGGGCAAGAGACTCTTCTTAATCAGCCTGGGGTGGCATGGGGAAGCACATTGCTGGGGATCAGCCCTGGGAAAGGCAAGTGGTACCTTCACCGGTCCAGTGAAAACAAAAAGTATAGCCTTGAAACTGAAATTCTTTTCAAGGGACTGGAGTTTATTCCAGTAGCACCAGAGTAAAGCAAGAGAGACCCCTTGGAGCAACATTTGAAAAAAATGGTAAGTTACCATAGATCTCTGATCTCTCTTGGTTGGGTTTAGCTCCCTCCACCACCTCTCCACCCTCTGATATTTTTATCCTGTTGAAAAGTAAGCAAACAATAAACTTGATGAGGGTTTGAGTTTGGAGACAGAAAAGCCCTTCAGTTGAGGCTTGTCAGGTAAAAAAAAGCAAAACAGGTTTATGGGTGGGTGGAAATTACTATGATAGTTCCTTGCCTTTCCTCTGACTTTCCTTTTCCATGTCAAGATCCCTGCCTCACTGCCATTACTCTAGCCAAGGAAGGTGTTAGCCCACAGCAGGATCCCAAGCTAGATGGGACTCCACACCATGGCCACCTTCCCATGCCCTTACCTCCTGCTCATCCTCCAAGGAGGAAGTACAGGCAATGAAAGAGGAATGAGCAGTGTCACTTTGAGGAAGGATTAGCTTTAGAAACCCTTAATTTCATCCTTTCCTCTCTTTCCTTCCCAACTTACATTGCCTTGTATTCATTTGATAGGATGGGATGCCTTCTCTCTTCCTTTTAGCTTATAATAGGTGTTTTCTGTGGCCTTGAACTAATTAGCTTCCAGTGATGATGAACAGCAGCTAGAAAAAGCAGCTGGTGGTGAAGATGTGTAGTGTATATAGTGTGTGCATACAGGGCACTTCTTACAGCTTTATCACAGTGCCTTATGATGCTTTGAATCTCTACAGCTGGCCATATCTGTTGTGCTGATATTTCGATGTTCATGTCACATATGGAGGAAATGCAGAAAGACATTTCTCTCTTTGACTAAACTTGGAATTTCTTTGAAGTACCTTTGGAAGCTTCTTTTTTACAGTCTTGCATATGCAGTCACAGTGTGACCCCATCCAGGACAGGAGAAGTGGGCCCATATGACCCTCATGGGGTTTGATAAGGCCAAGTACAGTGTCCTGCACCTGGGTGTCAGCACAGGCTGAGGGATTAAGGGATTGAGAACAGCCCTGCCAAGAAAGACTGGGGACACTGGTAGGTA